ATATCCTCTTGCTATGACACATTAATGAGACCTTTTAAAGGATTTTATGTTCTCAGCAATGTTTATTTCCCGGGGTCAATCTGTTTAAGTCACCCACCTACAGCTCATAGCCTACTGATGTTATGCTCCTTCTTTTTGTACAATTTGAACTGCAATGTAAAACACCCACCTCCCTTTGTTTGTTTGCAATTTGAACTGCGAAGGTAGCCCTTACCAATCTCTTACAATGTTAGTTCATGTCAAGAACGTTGGATCTTGAGAACACAGTACACTGGGAGCAGTTTGACTCATTCAGCCACTGCACCACTTATACTGGTATTTGCTAATTTTAGTTGTACATCTACATCTGTAAACCAAGCCAGGCAATGACACCATATGGTCACAAAGCAACACACACTGTCTCTGTGCTCCAAAAACACTTATGTAGATTGTTGTTTTTAAAAAAAAATCCCTGAAAACTTCGATTTATAATTGTGTCCTTTTTGTGTTTGTCTTCAGCGTCAGTGCCTGCCCCTGGTAGCCGTGTGTCCATCCAGCTGCAGATCAGGTACAAACACAGGAAGGGACAGACAATGCTCAGAGTGATCACCGCGGAGAGAGATGTTACTGACGACAGGTGATAATAATGTTTCCATAATTACAGTATTTTTTTTCTCTCTTTTGTGTTTTGAGATTACCTCTCCCTCTCTCTCTCTCTCTCCCTCTCTCTCTCTCTCTCTGTCTCTCTCTCTCTCACACACACACACACACACACACACACACACACGCCACTGAGCTGTTTGCATGCTTATTTCCTTCTTGTAAGCTTAAACAAGTCATTATCTTCTGACGTCTTTAATCAATGAGGCGTTCTCACCCTGAGGACAACAATTGATTAGATGTATTATTTTATACCAATCTCAGTGAGCCTTTAGGCACAGCAGTTTTGAAAATCCAAGGAGACTGGCTGTTGCTGAGATACAGGAGCCTTCACATCATGCAGAAATGATTGCACCATGTAAAGCATTTCTCACCCATTCTAACATTTAGTCACACAGTAAATGAACCTCTCAACTCAGTCCGCCTGCTTCATATACTGAATGAAGGTCACGCAATTCATCGTCTGAGCCGCTACAAAGTGGCTCCTGTGTGTGTTTGCACAGTAATATAATGGCAAGGCTGAAGCTGTAAATGTTGAGAAGCACTCTCATGATAAAAGTGTGGCCCTCCTCCTCAGCTCGGCAGCCCTGTCCTCCCTCTCTCTGGCCATCATTCAGCTCAACTCGTCACAGGCCAGTGCCGCTCTGGCTGTCAGAGGCCGCTTCGTCGACGCCAGGAGGGAAGGAGAGCTGCAGAGGAAGCTGATCGAGAGAGCGATGTGAGTAACAGGAGTCATGGAGGAAACTCTGACTGACATTAGTGTGTGGGCAATATGTAGAATGAGAGCTACTTAATGCTGATGTCTGACAAATGGATTTAATGAGGCCGCCCTCATAGTCTATATCCTCAACACGTGGAAAAAAGACAAAAGACAGGGAAAATGACGTCCAGTAATTGTGCAGGTGAAATTAAAAACCAGTTTAGGAACATTTTTACATGAAATGTTATGAAACAAAAATGTGAGTTAAGATGCCAAACTGTATTGCAGAAATAGAAACAAGAGGATGCAAAGGTTAAAAGCGAGTTAAAGGAAAATGAAAATCAGATGGCTCTTGACATTAAAGGAGTTGTATGTGACATTCAGAGCATATGATTCAGAGTCTGGGGCAGGATAGTCTCCACATGGTTCTCAATAACTGAGTTTTCACCAAACACTTTGGGAATAGTATCCCTGAACCAGTACGTAAGCCGTACAGACATGTACATAACCCCTAGATCTGTTTAGTGTTTCTATTGCAGACAGTAGCCCACTCTTAAATGTAGTTGGGTTGTCACCACATCACTGCTGCTATTAGCTCTCGCCTCTTCACCAGGCATGCAGAGGAACATCTTTACCTTGCTGATTGTCAGTGGAACGATGTTGAATGCCGACAGTTTCAAAAGAAAAACGAACAGACTGGAGTGTTTACTGTTTCTGTCACAGTTGCTGGGATCTATAAAAATAGCAGTGTGTTGAGTTCTTGTTGAGCAAGAGAGACGATTCTTTATCGACCAATCAATGGACTACGATGTTTCTAGCTCCACCTTTTAGTATCGGATCAGTGTGTGACGAAAAAACGGGACGGAATGGAACAGTTCTATCGGCACCATCCACAACTTTGATGATGGATACGCAGAAATAACTGCTCTCATGTGTCACAGATTAAACTGAACCAGAGGAAAAAAGGGCAACATAGAGGTTGCCAAGCTGGCAGGTAGCAGCTAGTGGTGTACTGCTATATTAATGGTCTGCACGTTCCATACAGCTCCTTTAAATCAGTCAAATACAAATAATCTGATGAACTGATGCTTTTATTGTTTATCTCAAACTGGTGAACTTTTTTTTTAAGTCAAAAGTTCATGAGTAAACGAATCCAAGGCTTTTTTTCAGACATAATTTTATGGTTCATTCAAAATTATCATTTCAAGTTAAGCTTGTTTACCACGCTTCTATTTTTTTGCTTTTTTCCTCGTTATCAACTTGATGTTATCAGTAAAATGACAGTACGTGTCTGAATGCTGTAGATGTAGAATATTTCTTGGCAGATACTGTAATGTACAAAGTGAGTCTGTCTGTGTTTGCAGAGAGCATAATAGCAGTGCAGAGGACCATCAGACATACCAAGAATGGGTTAAAACAATGGAGCCCATATACAACAACATACATAACTTCACAAGGGTGAGTATTAGCATCTTTTTAAATCAGGTTCAGTGTCACACGTTGGTTAAAATGACCATAACGAACTCTTTGTTCTTTGCAGAGACAATCTGTGGTTTCAGACTTGCAGGTAATTGACGTCATGTCCTTATAAATTACTAAAATACTGCTTGGTACAAGAATACTCTGCCTGTTTTGCTTAACTTTTTATGGTAATCCTTCCTTTTATTCACCTCCCACCAGTCTCTAACAGACGCTGGTGCAGCGCTGCTTTACACCATGAAGCACAGCAACAGGAAGTCCATCTCAGTGAAGAATTAACATAAACTCTAGCCAACTGTCTGCCTCCACCTTTTATCTTGTTGGAAGCAACTCAAGTCATGAATGACACGGATAAATACCGCTGTTTGACTTTGATTATCAGGCTGAATAAATATCCCTCACGTATTTCAGTGTAAATAATGTATTGCAGTATATCAACATGAAATACGGTCACTTGTATCATAAAGAAACTCATTTCTCAGACCTCAAATGATTCCTGTCAGTGTTGTATGTCAAAACTGCTGAGGCAGTACACAGAGTACATGGGTGCGTGTTTGAAACTGTTTGGGTTTTTCACTAATCAAAACACACAGGAAAAACCTGACTCAGAGCCAACACCTAGATCCTTTAGTGTCATCAAAACACACCTCACTACATACTGTATGTCAACCTCCAGCGGAGTTCATACAGTTCTGATAATTATGTAATTGCATTCATTTCTTTGTACCTTACTTGGCCATGCAATAGAGAATTTAATCAAACAACAGCAGCAAAGCATTATGGTTTACTTTATTTTAAAAAACATACAATATATATTGTGGTTCAGACATAGCCATAGATTTCAGGGGCAACGCGGCCCCTTACACCCCACCCCTAAAAATATGATTAAGATTACTTTTATTTTGACAAATTTAAAGACATTTCCACTTTAAGGTGATGCGGAAAAGGCATACATTTGTGCAAAAAAAATCACCGTGAGGCAGGAAATTTGTGACTGACATCAAAATTTCCTGACGGCAGACCCTGAAGTATAGCTCTACAAAGAAAACTGGATACAACATTGGAGGTAGGGCTGCAACTAACGATTATTTTCATTGTCGACTACTCTGTCGATTATTTCTTCGATTAGTTGACTAATCATTTTATCGAAAAATGTGTGAAAATGTTGAAAAATGTTGGTCTGTCTCTCCCAAACCCCAAAATTATGTCATCTAATGTCTTGTTTCGTACTCACGGCAAAAGGTTTTAGTTCACCGTCATGGGAGAGTGTGTAAAGCTGCCAATATTTGAATGTAAGAAGCTGCAATATGAGTATTTTGGGGTACTTAGTACTTTTCTATGAAAAATGACTCAAACCAATTAGTCATCAATTAGTCGGCTAATCGTTGCAGCCCTAATTGGAGGAGGGCACCTCAGTGGAGAGACTTCTTCAAGCCCCAAGATCAGATTGAAGTTGGTGAAGATGGCTTTAAGCAGTATGATGTCATTACTGCTCTGGACATGGACGCCATGATGAGTACAATCTATGCATGGTTGGACAACCCAGTGAAGTTCGAGAAGTCTCATGACGTCAATAACACCCTGGATACTGAGATTGTCCCAAAGTCCCAAAGACTGACGTGCTCAACCAATGCTACTGTATTTCCATCCCATACCAAGAATGCAAAAAGAGGAAGTGCTCTAGGAACTACACGGTGCCAGACCCCCCAGCCTCTTCGACAGCCACGTCTGGTCCATGCATTTGAAACACGAGAACATCGAAACTCGGCTTGAACACTCGAGACTTCCACTGGCTGAGCAGCTAACTTCAGGTAAATGATTTAATGATGGGGCTCTTCTAGACTTATGAAATGTTTTGGATGGATCAAATCTAAATAGTGAAATGAATCATTTCACAGGGGTTGTGGCACTCAGAAAAACGTATCCACTGTTTTACAGGCTCTTTCACAATGTAAGTCTATGGGAAAAAGCGTTTTTGGGCCACGGACCTGAATGTTGTAATTCCATATTTGGCCACTATGTAAAATTGCCTTCAAAGCCCAGTGCTGTTCCTCAGCCCCCCATTAGTGTTGTAATGAAACCTACGCCCTTTTGTTTACAGGATGCATAAAACAAACTGTGAATGTGTTGATATAATTCACATAAATCAGAAAAAACTGTGTCAATATTAAAGTTTCGATGTTTAAAAGTTGCAAAGGCAGTGAGCACTGGAGCACATACAAAATAGGGTTGAACAATAATCATGCCTGAGATGGAAGCAAAGGCATAAACAGATGTGTTTCTCTGGGGCAGCCCTCAAAACACAAACATGCAACTCTGAGCAGATGTCTGTGGAGCATATGGACCTAAAATTCAACGTTGGCAAGTTCCAAGAAAGCAGAATATGTGTATATGTAAATATGTTTCAGCCAGAATATGCAGGCTGATGCTTAGTAAGTAGAACCCTACTGTGCCTCTGTCTCTGTGGAGATCTATGACCATCTTGGCCCCGGGTTTGTGGACACAACCTGGGCCTCCAGCTCCACATCAGTCCTTCCATGAGAGCTCCTCTTCTTAGTCAGGGAGCACAAGTGGGAGGAAAACAGCTCCATCAGCAGGACAGAGAGGACACCCAGCACGAAGATAAAGTTCCAGGCCACCGTCATAGGTTTGTGGAAGTGCCTATGAAAACAGACTCTGGAGCAGATGCGGTCCCCAGTGCCATTGCAGGTTGAGTCAGCCTCCAGTTTGGTAACAGGCAGCTCTGCCAGGAAGAGGATCACCAGGCGGACACACAGGAAGCCAAACCACAGGGAATGACACTTGTAAGTGGTGGGGATGAGGCCTGTTACTATGGCTACCGTCGGCACTCCTGGCTTTTGTGTGGGAATGTAAAGGTAGGGAAGTTGAAAAAAAAAAAAAGCACGACTGCTGAAATTGTAAATACATTTTAAGACACATGATTTCACTTTCAGTCTAGTTAATATACAGTGTTTCAGGAATTTTATCTTAAATTTTAATTGATTTTGTCATTTCAACATGTTACCTTTGTATCCACCCTGTTTTATTGGTTTTCACCTCAAGTTATAGGAGGTCCGTTGTATAAGCCTGTAACTTCTTGACCTCTCTGATCAAATTCATTTTTCATTATCTGGATTTTAATGCAGTCTTATGTGTCCAAGTAAAGTAAAAAATCAACTGTAAAAGAATTACAAGCTACCTAATGAGTATAAAAACTGAAAAATTGTCATTCAAGTTAAACAGAGAATGAACAGAATATAATGAAAAGTCTCATTTTCTCTGCCCTGTACTATAAATGATTTTTCCATCTTTAAATGAGACACACCTCTGGGTCACAGGGCACACACACAAAGGAAGCTTTAAGGAAGCATGAAAACTGTTACTTAAGGCATTTAAATGTCACTTTAAATATATAAAGCGGTTTGTACATATGGATTGAAGTGGTTCTTAATGTATGTCAAGGTACATCAGTTGTCATTAATGGGAATAAAGTGCATAGCAGTAAGAGAGCTCACCTTTAAGAGTTGTCGCTTTGGATGCAGTCCTTTACGGGTGCAAGAAATGTCATTGTCATCAGTATGTGTGTCACAGTTTCACACCAGATGATATGCAGACTTTTTAGGATGCTCATGCAGGATACAATACGAGAAAACATCCCTACATTTTTTCTTTTACACATTACACATATTTTATTGGTATAAAAGGTGATTCATCTGAATGAACAACTGACTTACGATTTTTTTTGGTTTGTTTTTTGTAATCAACATTTTTTATAACATTAGATGACTGATAATTACACAGTAAAACAGTTACAAATTGTTTGTTCCGACAAAATGTAAATTCAAAGAACTTTAGACAGATTGTAGTTTTATAAGCATTAAAAAACACATTTACCTGAAATCACAACAGCTTGAGTGATCAGCACACGCTTGCAACACCACGATTTTATGAAGAGATTACAACAGAGAGGATCATTTCATAACTGGCTACTTACAGTACAGTATATATTTTAAAACATGATATGCAACATCTTTCAATTATAACAATGGAAAACAATGACAAAGCGCTGACATTTTACATAAATGAGACCCTATTTTGAGTTTTTTAAGCTTTCTTGAAAAAAAAAAAAAAGTTTCTTGTAAAATAACACTTCATCAGAGCCATCATCTAAAAAGATTTAAGGCCACTGGCTAAATATTTAGCGGAACCAAAACTCCAAAGTGCTAAAAAAAAAAAGCTTACAGTCCCTCTTCTTTGACTAAATACTCTGGCAGAGTCTGAAAAGCAGTCACAGGTACAGTCACTGGAACTGTCAGGGAAATGGCACTGGGTTCAACAGTGGAGGGGGAAACCTCACTGGGTGGCGGAGGAGAGGGAAGCGGGTCAGTGTGAATAATGTTTATGTCGCTGATTTGCGTGGCTACTGAGCCAGCATCTGCATGAGTCCTTAAGTGCTTGCGAAGGTAGGCAGCAAACAGGAAAGCCTTGCCACAGTGGGGGCAGCTGTGAGGCTTGCTGGTGGAGTGGATCTTCTGGTGTTTACGCAGTCCAGATTTGTTGAGGAAGCCTTTGCCGCAGCTGTTGCAGACATGAGGCCTCGGCTTGGGATGCTGCTTCTCGTGCTCCTGCAAGTCTGCCAGCTGTGCAAACTCTGCCTGGCAGGTTTCACAGACATGCGAGCCCATGGGCACAATTTTGGTAACAGTCGGAGGAGCAGATTCGATGGAGTGAAAATTCTCATGTGCCTGAACTTCATCCCAGCTTCCAAAAGTAACATCACAGAGAGCACAGGAGAACTGTGGGAGAGTTGTGTGGGCAGTAAAGCCTGAGGCTGACCCGGCCTCTGTCTCGTGTTGTTGTTGTTGTTGTTGTTGTTGTTGTTGCTGCTGTTGCTGCTGTTCAGTCTGCTCAGCTAGGTGAGTCCTCTCATGTTTGCGCAGGCTCGAAGACACCACGAATGACTTCAAGCACTCCTCACATTTGAAAGGCCTCTCTCCAGAGTGCACACGCCGGTGCTTGTTGAGGCTGGAGCGCTCAGCAAACGACTTGTCACACTCTGTGCAAGAGAAGGGCCTAAGGCCTGTGTGGACGAGCATGTGGCGCCGCAGATCCCAGGATGCTACAAAGGCCTTGTCACAGCTCTGGCATTTGTAAGGCCGCTCTCCAGAGTGAACCCGCTCGTGCACGGCCAGATCAGCTGGCTGCCGGAACCTCTTGGAACACTTATCGCAGGGGTATGGCTTGAAACCCAGGTGGGCTCGTTGGTGGCGACGGAAACTGGAAGGGTCAGAAAACATCTTGCCACACTGTGGGCAGAGGAACGGCTTCTCTCCAGAGTGAGTGCGGAGATGAGACTGGTAGGAAGAGAGCTGGGTGAAGCCCTTACCACACTGCTCGCACTGATAGGGTTTGTTCTGGGAGTGAATGCGTTGATGGCAGGCCAGGGAGGAGGAGCGGGAGAAGGCTTTGCCACAGTCTGAACACAGGTATGGTTTTTCTCCAGTGTGGGAGCGCTCATGGTTTTTCAGGTCTTTCAGCTCTGTGTACGTTTTCCCGCACTCATCGCAAGCGTACGGCCGATGGCCTTGATGGTTCCTCCTGTGTTTTCGGAACACAGAGGGATCAGCAAAACTCTTACCGCATTCACAACAAAAGTATGGCTTCTCTCCTGTGTGAGAGCGCATGTGCACCTTCAGTTTGGACAGGGTGGGGTAGCTCTTAGAGCACTGACGGCAAGAGTAAGGACGCTCTCCACTGTGCTGTGTCATATGAATCCTCAGGCATATAGCTTGCATGAAGGCTTTACCACACTCCATGCATACAAATGGTTTCTCCCCGGTGTGAGAGCGGCTATGGTTGCGTAGCTCTGTGGGTGTCTTGTAAGCCTTGTGACAGTCTGGACACTGAAAGGGGCGCTGGGCTGAGTGAGTGCGCTCATGCTTTGAGAGTTGAGCCTTGCTCGAGAATGTTTTAGCACACTGAGAACACGAGTGTTGTTCCGGACTGTCCTTTACGTGTGCCAAACGATTGTGGCTCTGCAGAGCGGACAGACTCCTGAAAGCCTCTGTGCATGCAGAGCATTTGAAGGAAGGTTTGGCCTTTGGAGGCCTACCTCTGCCACGTTTTTTTGCAGGCTGATCCCTCATCAGCTCTTCCTCTTGTTTGCGCTCTTCATCCTGAGCAGGAGGGGTGTACTGCTCTGTGAGAGGTGGGCTGCCAGGCTGAGGAGAGGCCATCTTTATATCTGCAAAAAGATTATATAAAAAGAATTTGAAATAATTATGTAAATAAGCAGATCACTAGCAGCATAAAGATATGAGAGTAGAAGATTGTTACACAGACATCAGGCTAAAGTCTTCTTACAGAAATGAATTAGGAGAGCAGATCGTCTGTGGCTGATGACAGACCAGGGAAAAATGTCTATAATAACATAAAAACAGAAATATGTGGGTGTGCATTAAATCACAAAATGGCTGGCATTAGGACCTCAGGGACAATAAGCTAACCGCTTTGATGCCAGAGGAAGTTGGCTATGCAATGACAGAAACCACTGTGTGTGAATGACTGACATGTGCCCGACCAGAGACAACGATCAAAGATCACGAGTCAGTGCGACGCTGTGAACAACCGGACACGATATGTACGTATTAATGTTCGCTAGCTGTCTTGCTAAACACTTTAACTAACTCAAAATGGCTGGCTTTAGGACCGGCTGCACCAATTTACTCGACAGCGTCATCATCATCATGACCGTGATTATGCGGGATGGATTTGGCTAACATTAGCTGTCTTTGTATCTTCTGCGCATTAGAGAAACAAAGGTCGTTCTTACCTGATTCAGGACATTAATAGTTGGTCGATAATGCCTGGAAAAGCGCCTCGGTACGCGGCTGCATTTACTGTGAGACACGGTGATTGCTCTTGACTGGCTGCAGGGTGGGGGACGGCTCTAGGACCATGATGACGAAAGCTCTCGGCAAGCCAAGTGTGCAACATTTAAATACGCGTAACTGTAAGAAATAATAAGATAAGACACCAATAAATGTATTATAACCCCTTTAGGGAAACATTGTAGTTGTTATAAATTAGCAGGTTGTCTGTCATAATGGAAACACGCGTGAAGCTGAAGCGAAGATCATTTACTATGCCTTTAAGTCAGTGGCAGAGCTAATGCTAACGACGTAGCTAGCCTAGCTGATAGAGGCAGCTAGCTAATGCTAGCGTTAGCTGTTTCATGGAAACCAGCAGCAGAATAGTGAGACGAACATTTAAATTCTTGTTTTTTTATTTGAGTTCAATGTTTGCCCTGTGACTACTTTTAACGTTGAACCCACCTCCGTTTGTGCTAACTAAACTTTTTAGCCTGTCCACTTTCGAGAGGGAGGTATTTCTCTGCTGCACATTTCCTGTTTCCTAGCAACAAGAGCAATGTGGAAATGGGGATGGAGGAAAAAAAAGACAATTGGAAGAAAAGGGGCTGCCTTTAAGACAAAATCAGCGTTTTTAAAATAATGAATGAAAATATATCTTCGGAAGTCGGCACTGGATCAGTACCGCTGCAGGTATTTAATTCGACGCATTTGCCGACGCTGTGATTCCGCATTTAAAACGACTTCTTGGCTTTTTGGTGCAATGTTTGTTTAGCTAGCCACGATGTTGCTAGCTGGTAGCGCGCTAACGTTTGCCCACTGTTCTCTTACACAAATGTAACCGCAGTGAACCTGTCCGCTCCTCCTTATAACGTGAAGATGATAAATATGTTTATTCTGGTTTTGTTTATAATGTCGAAGAGAATTTGCGTTTACAGAGCCAGTAAGTCTGTAAAAAGAGGCGTTTCCCGGTTTATTGACATAGCTAGCGCTGCTAGCCTGCTGATGTAGAGATGTGACGTTAATGTTAGCAAAACATGTCAGGCTGGATACCATTTATAGCTAACTATTGAACTTAGTAAGTGTGTCCATGACGCTGGTTACTTGCTGCCGGTGACGCATTTGAAACACATCGTATCATACCTGCTTTTTCCAAAGATTTATTGATTTACAGATTTTAATCGGGGATGAGCACTTATGGGTGAGATTATGAGATGTTCACTGTCGGTACAGAACAGGCACGGATGTGACACACAGGTTAAGTTGTCAGTTTCGTAGAATAACTGAAGAGTAAACTAATAGGAGTAACGTTAATCCCCATAGGTTAATTGTAGCTTTATATAACACCCATTCTTGAGCACTGGGACAAATCATGTCCTTCCGAAAAAGCCTTTAAATGATAACTTATCAAACTACTAATTCAATTTTTAGGTGAAATATTATTTTTAAAGGGTTTATTTTTTATATGGAATAAATATGACTTATGAATTATGTTAACCTGCTTTCATTTTGTAACTCATAAACCTGCCTTGTGCCAGGAAACACCCTTGTCCCAGACCAGAATTCACAACTTAAAGCAATTTAAAAATGTCTTAAAAGCCTTAAAAATTTAAACTTAACAGTAGGTACTAATAGCATTGGTGTAAAAATGTGGTGTTATAATAATCTTTGCTTTCAAGTATACATTTTTATGAAAATGTTGGCCCCTTAAAGATGTGTCCCTAATTTTTGTCAGCTTTATCAGATTTCTACAAAAACACAATTTAATCTGGCATAAAAGGAGTAAGCTTTATCACAATAACTCCTGTATCATTTCCTGGTTTCTAAAAAGGCGGGAATGCTGCTCAAGTACCTGTAAGCTTTCTATTTTTCGATAAATTTATTAAATAATATTGCCATTGGGTGTATCTCAACCATAAGAGGTCAACTCCGTAGCCCCTCTAAATCCAAACTAAATAAGAATTAATGTTTAAAATGAGCTCAATTTGCTTTAAGATAACTTTAAGCAAGTTTGAAAATAAAATAGCTTCTCACTATGAGTGCTGTGACATTCATAAATACATAACTTTTTGTCAACTCCGTAAGACGTCAACTCTGTCAGATCTTACCTCTGACATCAACTATGTATGTTATTAAAAAAAAATCTGGAAGGCCTAATACAAGGTTCAATAGTCAACACTTTGATCTTTCAAAATATATTTTCCCACCGTAAACAAAGAGATGACTCACTACAATTGAATACTGTTAGGTATGCATTCACCAGCTCTAACTTGCATCTCCTCTGTCCTCAACAGCTCTGTTCGCCCTCTTCTCCTAAACTGACGTCATTCTCCTAATTGTGTGGAATTGGTTCTCTACATCTGCTGTGGTACCTCCCTGGACTCTCCTTGGACCTTACTGTAAAGGACTATCTTCTTTATATACTGACAGCAAAGGCATCTAATGCATTTCCCTCCTGCATATTCTCACACTCTGTGTCTGGTGCACTTGATTCAATCGCTATCTTGTAATGGCAGTGCAAGACCCTGGCAGGACAACAGGTTTTCCGTGCAAACAATGTGGCATAGTATGTCCCAATATGCCCACTCTGCTCGAACACATGGATATTCACCTTCAACAAGAGGAAGAACGCAAGTTTAAATGTGATGAATGTGGACGTGGTTATAGGCATGCTGGTAGCCTGGCTAACCACAAAAAAACACATGAAGTGGGTTCTTTTCGATGTAACATCTGTGGTAAAGAAAACTCGAATGCGTTGGCCCTGAAGAGTCATCTTCGGAGCCACACTTCACAGAAGAAGTATGCCTGTACCGAATGTGGGAAAGCTTTTCGCCTGGCATCACAGCTGGCCACACATGAGAGGGTTCATCTTGCCAGGAGAGTAAAGGAGCAGTCATATAGAAAGGTAGACATGGAATATCCCACACATGAAGATAGACATGAAACTGAAGATAGACATGAAACTGAAAATAATCACCCACATCTTCTCAGTGAGCAGTCAGCCGGTGTTGGGATTTCCACAGAAAGTAGCCCAGCTGAGGAAAAGCCGGAGGTTGTGTATAATACTCAATCTGAGCCCTCTGATGATGCAGCAAATCGACCATTCAGATGTGATTTGTGCGACAAATCATACATACACCATCGAAGCCTGACCAATCATAAAAAAACACACCAAGTGGGAATGTTTGAGTGCACAGTGTGTTTCAAACTGTTCAATAACATGGCTGCTCTCTACAGTCACCAGAGAAGTCACAAGGCAAGAAGCGGGACGGACCCTAATTCAATGGGTGGTTCATACACCGGCACGCCAATGGACCAGTTTTCACCTCAGCGCCAAGAAGCTCCAGTAAATTTTTGTCATTTGTGTCAGGTACTATTCCCCAATGATGAAGAATTCCAGGAACACATCCAAATGCATAACTCCTCATCTTTGTCATTTGGGCTTCAAGATACCTTGTCAGAGAACCACAATATATCATATGACAACAGTATTGCTTCGCCTGAGTCAAATTTTTATGCATCCCCTATAAATAATGTTCCCTCAGTATCATCCATAGATAATCATGGAGGCTTTGATCAGCCGCAGGAGCAGATTAGACGTAACGGTCATGTCTATTCAGCCTGCTCCAATAATCAAACACCACCTTCCAACAGCACTCAGGGAGAACCCCCAATCATAGACACAAGCATTCTCAATCCTGCCCTGACACTGGACACTGACAATGCAACTGAAATGGAAGAGATGTCAACTGTAGATTCTGATGAGCGTCCCTTCAAGTGTCAAATCTGCGGTAAAAGCTACCGGCACTCTGGGAGCCTTATCAACCACAAAAGGTCACATCAGGTCGGGATTTACCAGTGCTCCATCTGCAGAAAGAGCTATCCTCACCTGGCCGCCCTCAAAAGTCATCTTCGTCTCCACAAAGCTCAGTCGTCATCTTATGGCCTCAACGCTGAGGGAGACTGGCTCTCCTCAGAGCCCCTGACTCTGGACAACCAACAGGGTTGCTACTCCTCTCAAGACGAGGAGGGGGATCGTACTCACCCTGTACTTGGTATGGATCAGGAGAACGGAGTTGACCACAGCAATGGAGCTTTGTACCATGAGCAGTTTAATCAGGACTTTACCCAGGATATGACTGTGCATCTACCTCACAATGAACACCTGATGCAGAGGCACATGTGTGCAGACTGCTGTGAGACATTTGCCGATATTGCAGGGATTAAGTCTCACAGTTGCCCACTGCTACAGCAGCAGCATGACACCGCGAGCAGTGACTATGACAGTAATATAAATTTCCAGGGCAGTAATGGTAACTGCGCCATTGGAAATCCAGGGAGTAATGTAGAGTTCCATGGTCTCAATGGTAGCCACGACCAAAGTTACTTTGAACAGAACTTCCATGACAATATGAACAGTGATCAGCTGAATGGTGGCGCAGAAGGTGATGACGTAGATGAGGAGGATGATGATGGAGATCTGTATCAGTGCTCTATATGTGGAAACAGCTACACCAGTATGAGGGCTCTCAGGAGCCATCTCCGAGGACACACACAATCCCATAGTACTCCTGCAAGCTCAGGGCCCTCCTCCATGTCCTCCCATGAAGAAGTGAAAGATGAGGAGCCTGGAGAGATGATGATTTGTAGCACATGTGGGGAAAGTTTTGCCACTAGGCAAGATTTAAACGCCCATCAGCTTCTACACACCCAGGACCAGGTAGATAATGTAAATCATTCACATATAAACAACAGCGATGTGTCTCAAGGAAAGGAGGAAGCACAGAGTATCATCTGTGGCAGCTGTGGCATCTTCTGCACCAGCTATCATCATCTTGAGAACCACGGTTGCACAGCTGAGAGGACAGATGAGTCAACACAGGGTAAAGAGGAAATGAAAGTAAATGATGTCGCCCAGTGTGAAGACACGAGTCATGTCAAAGAAACTGTTGACACCCAGAATCGTCAGTACAAGTGTGATCAGTGTGGGCGGTCATACCGACACCCGGGCTCCCTCCTTAACCACAAAAAGTCCCACAAAACAGGTGTATTCAGATGCCTCGTCTGCCAGAAGCGCTTCTACAACC